AAGTGGTTGAGGACTGTGCTCTTGGCTTCTGAAAGCCTGCTCCTTTATGCCTTTTTTGACCTTTGGCTTCACTTAGATGTATTTAATGCAGATTCAACAGAAAAATATGGAACTGTTCATTCTTTTTGTATGACTGGAGTTTTTAGTCAGTATAATAAATATGCCAAATTCAGCTATACATACAAAATAACTAAAGTATAATATATGGAGGTACTACTCACAGTCAAAATGATAACTTGTCATTTGTCATTTATTATAGTCTAAATTATTGTGCGTTTTCTCACAATGGGATGTTGCCAAAGCTATACTTTTTAGCAAATTGATCCGTTTTCTCATTTCCTCTCCCGTCGACAATGCGGTGCTCATGCTGGGCCACAATGAAAACGTTTGCTTGTATATTACATTGTGGAACGAGCACTTTTCTCTGTTTACACTCGTATATTTAACAGGTGACATGTATAGCAATATCACGTTAATATATCATTGTCAGAAGAAAACACATTTTCCCCTCCACTTCCATTTTCTATTCAGGCGTCAGAGCCAGAGAAATCTATGAATTTCAAATGTTATGTATAGGAGCTTAAAAAGACTTCCCAGAAGCAGAAAATGATCTGATACATTATTGCACGTTTAGTTTAACGTCATAATGTAAATCCATGTCTAAGTAAATGGCAAAAGAGAAAAATACAAATAGCTTAAATCAAAAACTACGTTTCTAATGGTATCAAATAATCTAGGCTCACTCATAGAAACACTTGACAATGCACCAGTGATCAGATCAACAATTCTGATTCTCCAAACGGGTGGGAGATATGTAGCTCTACCTTACTTTCAATTTTTCATATATTTAGTCTGAACTGGATAATTTGTGGTTTTTTAAGTGGATGAAAATTGGTGGCAAAATGTTATTTATATCTGTTAGTCACAGCGCAGTGCATCAATGCAGTTTTATCACTGTCTCATATTGTATTTGCCTATTGCAAAATATGCATGGCTGTCTCCAAAAGGCTTTTGAATGTTGATATTTACAGAGGGGGCTGACAAGTCACACGTGTAGCAGACAGTCTTGAGATGTTTTTTTTTCTGAGATGTACGCAATGTTGTGAGACTTTTCATGTTTGTTTAGTTGGAAAAATGTATAATCAGAAACCCTTGAAGAACAATAGTCCTCACCGATTCTTCTCTGGTGTGAAACATTCATTCTTGTAACACACCATCAAAGCATTTTTTTCTCTTCTACAGCCATGTAGTTAAAAGCATTATTGATAGCTTTCTCTAAATAACCTAGATGATTTTTATCTTGCCATTGCACACTGCCCCAAGCCCAAAGTTGATTAGAGCTGCAGCCTCCAATGACCCTAAATTTACTACAGTAGGAAATCAATAAGCGAACGAACAAAGAAAAAGTTCCACTAGTATTAACCACACTCCTTTACATCCCACAAGATGGACTGGCTGTTTATTGCCAGTTCATCAATACAATGCCTGTAAAATGCCACTGTGCCACAGATAGCGAGGGATTACATTTGTGTCTACACACGTGTCCTGCTTTTATGAGCAAGGAAAGGTAGGATGCTCGAGCTCCAAGGGACAGTGTTATTGATTGCAGGTCTTAGGGCTGCTTTCTCCAAGCTCACACATCAGTTTTAGAGCTGGCACCATTGACATTCAGCTGAAAGGCGGAGTGGAGTGGTGGGGGGGCGTTTGCTGATTACCCACCTTGAACATGATGCCACGGATACACTCATACTTCTAGTCTTGTTTATTTTCTGTTCATTTTTATGACCCTTGCGTCGGTGTGACATTCATCAAATAAAGTCGCCATTACAGGAGTGTTTGGGACGTCTTTAGGCAGATTCCTCCACGTCTTCATTTAGGTATCTCCTGGAACAATGAATATTTTATGCGCTCATTTAGTCCCGTCTTTCTACGTGTGGGATTACTTTATAGATCAGAGGCTGTGATGGTTGACGTGAAGAAAAGGTTGCGGGGGTGTTGTTTGTCCGAGTCAACATACCGTAGGGATTTGGTTTGGTTGCTCAAGCTTATAGCCCCCCGGTTATTGAAACCCATCCATCTTCTCGAGCCTTTGAAATGATATACATTAGAAGGGTACATGCTGTTTCTTTCGGGATGAGGTGACACATTGTAATGGCCCACAAATCACAGGCTAGTTTGAATATGTCAAAGTCAGGGAGGGTGGATTGAAGAAAATCAGAATATTGCATCTTTTGGTTGAAGGCCTGGTCAAAACAGAATTATACAATAACAGGGTAGAAGTGGGGTAAGTACTTATGATGTGCATTTCTGTTCAATGGTACGATCGTTTCCTTATTTATCCTCCCTCAAGTGTCTCTGATTGGAAAGCATGTTGTCATTACTGTTATTATTTTCCATCATCTTCCTAACTTACCACGTATTCTGGTGCATATGCCGTGCTCAAAATAAACATTTGACTTCATAATTGTACCCAAGAGAACCCATTTCTTCCTGTTGATTTTGGCGGCTTGGCTTTCTCTTATGCATCTCATAATTACAATATTTTGAGCATTACTGAGCACAGTTTGTTATATTAAATCTATTATGCATGCCCCTGTCTTTTGAGAAAACATTGTATCATAACTGTGTCCCTGGGAGGAGGCCCTGGGAGGAGGCCCTGGGAGGAGGCCCTGGGAGGAGGCCCTGGGGAAGACCTGGCACACACTGTATCTCAGCTGGTCTGGGCACGCCTCGGGGAGGAAGTGTGGGTATTGATTGCTGCCTCTACGACCCGCAATGGATTAAGCGGAAGAAATTGGGCAAATGGATATATCACTATACCACAATTATGTCTTTGTGTGGACATAATGAAAACTGCAAAACAACTCTACAACATACAACATTGTGCTTCTAATGCGTCTATTATAGAATTCCCATGAACGGCAGCATTGGGCAATTTGTACCATAAACGTTAAATATTTCAACCCTGTTACACCAATAAGAAGATAAAGAAGCATTTCATACATTAAGACACACATTTGCCTCATTACCTGGGGGAGCACAGCAAACAGAAGAGTCGATTAGGGCTGCAGACAAAGGACAGTAGCCTCCTCTTAGAATTCATTGTCATTAACACAGAAACGCTGAGGCCTTTTTCAAACTCATTAGTTGATAAAACAACCCCCTGATTTCCTATTAAAAATCCCATTCGTCCTCCCTGGCTGCCGCTGCCTCCACGTCTCCGCATCCCTGCTTTTGCACACTTTTCCACTAATGGCAGCTCTTAAGCAGGTGGAGCCATGATTCCTCCTGCATCGATTGTTTTCAACTGGTTTCCCTGCAAACAATTATTGCCATAATAAAAACAAGCTTTTCAAAGGGAGCCAGTGCACTGATGACTCCTTTTGGGTTGACTACCCATTGCATTATGGGGAAAAGAGGATTTACTACCTCTGGGTTTAAAGGTCCTGCCTGGTGTCTCTGGGATTTGGTTTGATGAGGTCTAATGCTCCAATAGATGCATTAAACTGTTGAGCAGCTAAATTGACTACATCGCCCAGCCACTTATAGTATTTCTATATATAGTTATTTAGGCCATATATAGAAGGAGGATTGTAGGATTTGTATGAATTTTACAAAATGTTGCAAACACAGACAAAAATCCCCTTTTTCTGGATGCTTTGTTGAGCAGCTCCTGTGTTTCTTTGAGCCAGCATCCCGGGTCATAGCCCAGGTAATTTGATTTTACGTTTTACTGTACATTTTGTAGGCTTTATACTATTATTTAATCATTTATTTTAGGGTTATCAATTGATTATAAAACCCCAATTACTTCAATATCAGCATATCTAAGTTTGAAAACTGATGAAATAACATATTAAAGGCTCTCTGATCTCAATTCAAGATCATTTGACTATGTTAAAATGATTACTGATGGAACAAGCAAACATTTAAAGGGCAGCTAGTAGTTGTTGGATACCAAAATACAGACTTCCAGACTCACCCAACTGAGTCAGTCATTTAGTAGTTGAATGTTTGAATTGTAAGTGATCAGATCCATCTGGTCAAGTTTGTTCCTGCTTCAAATGTAAAGCGAATACACTGTTTTTCAATCACCTGTCCTTTGAAGCTAGTGCTAGTTTGAAGGCTACTAAATTGGACAATGCTGTTTGTGTACATCTTTACATGTTCTTGTCTCTTAGAATATAAGAAATGTAGGTTTATTCCATTGGTAAATCTTGTTCTAAAGAGTTGCTTGCTTCAAGGTAGTTTATCTTATTCATGCAATTTTGGGATTTTGTCATTTGTTGAAGTGAAGAACAAAAGCTGATCTGATGTCAAAGAAAAACAAATCTTCTTCATGATCCCTCTTCATCTTTCTTTGGACAAATGGGTTCTGTTTATCGTTATCAGCATCTTATTAATTAGACATTGAGGAAAATATGCAATAACACTTCAGTGCATTGAAAGACACATTTATTTTCCTGGCAGAATAACATTTTATTTCAATTCAGACAAAAGGAAATACATATTTGTGCTTTTGCAGTTAGATGAACAGCTTTGTATATGTACATTTTATACATGTGTATAGAATCTTTTGCTACAAGACGTGGCTTAAATTATTGTTTGCCACTTTACATATATATCAAAGAGCCTCTGTCTTCCGACTGTTGAGTCCTTTTAGTAATCTGGTAGAAAATTGTCTTTGTATTTTGAGTTCTTCAAAAACATTCATTCTGAGATATATTATATAGTTAAAATTCAAGTCATTTCGGCCAGGATCTTGGAAACCATTTATATAGAGCCTTTAATTCACACAAAAAGCAAAATTCCAAAGCCAGAAAAAAAATTGCAAAATAAATATTTCCCAATCACTTCATGAGATCCTGAAGTGGAACCTGAGCACAAGTTTTGAGCAATGGTCAAAGAATACGCACGCGGCCACACTCTGGATGATCTGTGACAGGCAGGTTTGGTTTTCCAGGAAAAATAGATCTAACCATTTGCATCTGACGTTTTCTTTACAAGTTTGCGTGGATGTCCTCATGTCGCAGCACTTTGTAGGTGATCCAGTAGAAGATATTGAACATGAGAAAGCTCAAGGGAAACACGGCTCTGGAGATGGTGTCGATGCGCTTGGCCCTATCCACGAATCTTTTGTGCACCATCCCGCCGTCGCAGATGGTCACTGGGGGAGGTGGCGGCGGAGGCGTGGAGAACACGGTGGAGCCTTCGACCGGAGTGCCCTCTTTGGTCTGCAGGCAGTGACCCAGGCCATAACCGCGGAAGTAAAAGCCTCGACTCTCCCGCACCAGTTCCTCTTCCTGTGGAGCAGAGGGTTACATGTTATTATTGGGGACCTTTATTAACATTAATACCACGGTGAGAGAGGATCCCCACGCAAACTACCATCAATTAATACTGTTTAGACCTCATTACATGTTCCATATCACTCCACCTGAGGGGTCACCATAGTAACAGATACAGCACAAACTAGTAACTTACCGTTTTGCATTATAACCTTACTTTTGAAGGTCTGTTTAGCTAAACCTTTATTTTAGTTATGAAAGAAACATTTAAAAGCAAGCCTACTTTGCTTTTTCTCCTCTTTGTCTGTAACTTCATTTTGGTCAGGACAATGGTTGCCATGGAGCTTTTGTCTAAGAAAGTTGTCCCTTTTCTCAGACATGTTTTGAAGATATTTTAAGTAAGTTATTGTTTTGACCATGGCATACGCAGATTGATCCTTATAGCTGGTACAATGCAAACATTGAGCTGGGGGTACCTGATTTTTAATCATCAAAGGAAAAGTGTGTTGTGCTTGAAGTCCTGCTTATAATTAGGATGTAGTTGTAGTGTAGATGTAGCGCTATGTGCAACAAATGAAATAACAACAGAATTGATTACAGTATATATAATCATATAAATACAGTAGCTCAGTTGGTAGAGCATTGGCCTTCAGGCCTGAAGGTCGTGGGTTCAATTCCCACCTCCACACCTTCTCCACCGACTCCCACTGATGTCTGCTGTCTCCTGTGGACTCACCACCTGCAGAGGGTCAGTGAGGGGCTGGTGCTATGAGACTTGACCCTGACCCAGAAATGGATTAAAGGGTAGAAAATGGATGGATGGATGGATGGATAATCATATAAATATATATTTATATACAAATAATAATTACTTATATTGTAAGCGCTTTACTTTTTGCTAGTTGTGTGTATTACAAATTATGAAGCTTTGTCTCATTGGTGACCAGAGGTTACTGTAAAAGTAAAAGCAATGTTCATGTAACATTTGATTTGTCATTTTAACCTTGAACACATCACATGCAGATGTTGTATTTACTTAATACTGACTGGTATTTCAATTACAACAGTATTGTAGTTACAATACACACAACTGTTTTACTAATTGAATAATCTTCAACTGCCTTCAAATGAATGGAGCCTGCTGTGCTCCTGCTCGGTTGGAATGAAAACAACAGTCCTTTGAGGAGTGAGATACCCCCAGAGAACAGTCTACCCCCTTGTGAAGCTACAGCATGCTTCTTAGAGCGTTATCCCCTGCATGGTTGGGTCTCCCATGAGGAACATGTAGTATGTCAGAGAAAGTGAACCATGGAGGATCAACATGATTCAACCTTGACCCCGTCATCAGCCCAACGTTCATGGGTGTTGGTCCAGGGAGGAAAGGCTGGTGCCTCCACAGCCCGACCCTGGATAAACAAAGAAATGGGATGGACGGACAGAAATGAACCTCCATCTCTCCTTTGTAAGGCTTCACTAGACTTAAGCCTAGTGTATACTCGCGCAGCGCCGAGCTTACGGAGGTAATGTGACGTCACTTGCGCAACGCGTTGGTCACCGCAAGGCCCTTATGTTGCCTGCCGCGAACCCTCGAAATTTTCTAACTACGTAAGGGTCGCCGCAAGGAAGCTCCGCTGTGATTAGTCCGTGTGTGTGTTTTGGGCGGAAGCATGAAGCGGCTGCAGGAGCATGGACGAGGCACTATGGAGCAGAGAGCTTTGTGCTTCGAAGGAACTGAAGCATGGAGACAGTGGACTAGAGTTCTAACCAAGCCCCGGCGATCCAAGATGGCGCCCTATTCAAATGAATGGTTGTGCTCAGTGGCACTTTGTGACGGCATGGGGGCTGAAAGATTAGCGGAAGTTGCCTGAAACTCGCAAAGATCTATGGGAAACTGGCAAAGATCTATGGGAAACTCGCCTGTATTTGGGCATCGTCTGGTCCTCCCGGTTCTGCGCAGTGGATGATCTCCCATAATGCGTTGCGCCAAACACGCGTGTGTGGGTCTCACACCAGGTCTCACGCACGTGCACAGAGGGGCTCGGCCGCGCTCTGACCAATCAGAGCAGTTCATCAGAGCGGGAGTTAGAGCGAGAGCCAGACGAGCAGAGTTTGTGGCACTAAAGTGTGGATTTAAACAAAACCGAAGGATTTAAGAAGAAAAAAAGTTCAGGATGACAAGGGACACTAAAATCCCCACAAAATCCGACCTTTATGAAAGCTGTAGGTTCTCTGTCAGCTGACGTTGAGCTGTTTTAATATGCATTGAGTTCTATGGGGAAAATTTCTGGGTAGCCCACGTGAATTTAGTCTGGTTCAGTCTGCAGTACCGCCAGAATCCCCTGAGCACATGGGTTATTCAGCTACAAGCTAGTAATACCCTATCCAGTTATTATATGAGATCCATGGTTCTAACATATAACTTATGAACTGTGCAGTCGTTTCTTTTACACTGTTCCTGTCTTCTTAGAATCTGCACTTGTATATCACGTCTGTTCCATTCCTCCTGCACTCGTAAATAGTTCATGTTTGCCTCAGATATTTACCACTTATTGTTTTGCTGAATACAATTTAATAATAACTATGCTTCCAACAAGAACGGTGTCTTTATTCACAACATCACAGTTAAATGAGTTAAGAAATAATGAGTCCATAGAACTATCACATTAACCTACAGTAGAAACACATGTAATGATCTCAAACAGCTCGGTTTGTTCATGTTTTTGTTCTGAAGAGGAGAAAGAAGCAGCGTAAGTGAAACCGCTTTGGTATCTCAGGCAACTCCTGTGAGATCGCCATCATGTGGTTGGGTGTGGGATTACAACATTCTCCTCAAAACTCCGCAAGGAGTATAACACAAATTGTGCTTGCGTAGGTCCACCGCAACCGCTAACGTAAGCCGCGTTGCGCGAGTATACACTAGGCTTTAGGCTGATAGGCATTTCAAACTATTCATAAAGAGTCCAGATCTCAAGCAGACCAAAAACTGGGCGATGTGCCGTGATGAATGGCACACTCTTTCCTGCAGTGTGAGTGTTCCACTGAGAAGAATACTAAATAGAGATGTGGATTGGCTCTGACAGGCTCCAGACGACTCCGTTTAGAGCGGAAAGGGTTTGCTGTTTGAGAAGTGGACTGACAGCTGTAGTGTATGTCTTCGTGATTTGCCCTTTGACATTAGCATGAGGTCCAATAATTGAAACTACAAACAATAGACCAAAAGCATTTAATTTAAACTGTAGCTTAAATTATGTATATCACCAAAACAAGATTAATATTGATATACTGTAAATGAAATACAGTATTTTCTGGACAAGGTCTTATTGAGACCAAGTTTCTGATCTCTGAGGCCATAATGGCCAAACAGGGAGAAAGTAGGGAGTTGTTCTTGTTGCACAGTCCAGTTATCTCGCTCCTTCCTAAAAGAAACAGTCCATCATAAGCTCAACTCTAATGATGCGTTTACCCAGGTTAATAGGAGCATACATTTTTGTATGGGGACCTCCCACTCCCTGCAGTGTTTTTGGAAGACTTCATACTATGTTGTTTTTGAATCATGCTCCCTGTGAGATTTCATAACACTTTTAAGCAACTTTTGTTATAGTTAAACTCATCATTCTATCAATGTGCAGAAGCCTGTACTTTTCCACTTCATGTTTTGACTATCTCTACTGGCACCGTGGAAGCTGTTGATTGGAGGTCTCCATGCCTCCGCTCTGTATAATACACTTGCATTCTGTTGTATCTGTTGTTCGTGTTGTTCGTGCTGTCTCTACCATCGACAATAAAACATGTCTTCTGTCTGAATTAAAGACGCGATCCCAGACTATGTCATCCTCTTCAGGTGGTGGAAGGATGCGGGCCTTGTCTGTAACATCTACAGAACAGAAGACTTTTTTTTTTTTACACAAAAATTTGTTTTTTTTTTTAAGCCAAAACTGAGAAACCTCAAGAGAATGCATCTGGACCAGCACACTTGAACAATCTGCACAGCCCCTGACTCCAGTCAGGCTGTGAGCTGCTGAGACATGGACAATACCATCGTCCTCTTTTGCATGGACATGATTTGGAAAAATTGGATTACACAATTTGGACATAATTTGGACTGAATTGCTGAATCTGGACACTAAAGCTGAAACGTGTGATTGAAAGACACGTCACAGAAGAATTCACGGCTCAACACAACAAATGCAGCCTGAAGAAACCAACACGGAGAAGTGGAAGAGACTGTTTTCAAAGCAATATCTGGAACCATCGACTGATGAAGTTTGGTATTTTACTGAAGATTGTTGACAAGTTTTATGAAAGATCTGAACATGTTTTATGAGTTTTATGAGTTTTTGAAGTATTCCGAGTTCTGAGTTTTTTGAAGTACCGAGTGAAGTACCGAGTTTATGAGTTTTTGAAGTAATGAGTTATGATGTTATGTTGCTGTTTATCGATCCTGATGGTCACACGTGAATGTGTGACCAGAGGGGGGAATGTGAGATTTCATAACACTTTTAAGCAACTTTTGTTATAGTTAAACTCATCATTCTATCAATGTGCAGAAGCCTGTACTTTTCCATTTCATGTTTTGACTATCTCTGCTGGCACTGTGGCAGCTGCTGATTGGAGGTCTCCATGCCTCCGCTCTGTATAATACACTTGCATTCTGTTGTATCTGTTGTTCGTGTTGTTCGTGCTGTCTCTACCATCGACAATAAAACATGTCTTCTGTCTGAATTAAAGACGCGATCCCAGACTATGTCATCTTCTTCATCCCCTTTTATGTTTTGGACATTGGTCAAAATAAAATTGTAATAATGTTTAACAAATAATCATCACATACATTTTGACAAGCCCAAATCTGAGTTAGATGACTCCTGGACGGAAGAGGAAATGTCAGTTGTCTCAATACTGAAAACTTATATTTGCATTCAAACAGTTAACACCAGAGCAGTTTTCATGATATCAGCACTAAAGTTCACTTGACAGTGTGGAGGGAGAAAGGGCAAGTGCAGGGCTGGTGAGGTCAGGCACACAGCGGTGATACGACACAAACACCTGACAGAGGAAAGTTGAGGGGAAAGTTGTGTGCTTTCATTTAAAGCGTGTACATGGTCTGAATGTGGTGGAGGTCAGGATTACCCTGGCACAGGCACGGCACTGCTGACTCACAGTCTTGTAGGAGGGCTGCACACTGTGCATGTCATTCACTTTCCGTAATGACTCCACACTCCCAGGCTGAACGGCCACATCCTCCACAACAGGGAAAAAGGATAGACACATTAAATTCAGCGCCTCAAGTCTAACCAGAAAAAGCACAACATTTGAGGTGCATAATGTGAAATTATTTTCTGTCCCCAATAAAAGGAATGGCTAGGTTTTGGTTCATTAAAAAGTGTACCTAGTGCATTATTTATGCAACAATGAAAGATTGTGTATATCAAACAGCAATACATACTGAATTAAAGACCTATGGAATGTACTTTGTTTCCTACTCTCAGAGTATTGGTTGTTTTAAATATCCATTCATTCTTAGTCACACTTTCTGTTTTGTCGCAATTTGGATGTGGTGTGTGCTAATTAAAAGTCAATACTTAAATCACTCACATTCAAGTCCAGTCTTATTTCCAAGTTGATTTTCTTCTAGTAATTCCAAAAAGTGACAAGTCGAACTCACATTTGCAAGTGCACTCTTCCAGTAGTTCATACTCCATAATAAGCAACCTGTCCCCTCTGTAATTAGTGCATTGACTGTATTTGGTAACTTGCTCGGTCAAGTTCAGGTGTCAGGTCATTGCAAGTAGATAGATAGTACGTCAACACTCCGTCTTCAGCGGGGGTAATTGTGTGGGCTGTGCGGACAGGGAAAGTCCTTGTCCACATAATTTCTCTCCCTCTGTATCGACTCAGAAGGCCAAGCAGACCAGTAAATCTGCAGGACTCATCTGTCTTTACAGGCAACGCCACTATGAGCCCGTGTCTAAATATGAACAGTGTATTGTAGCGGCTAACCCAAGACAAAGTGATCCGATTAGTTTTATTAGGTCGTTCATTTGTTTTAATGACCAACGTTTTTCAGATTCCTCCTGGACAAACCCCCAGGACACATTGGACGGACTATGTCTCTCAGCTGGCCTGGGTTTGTTTCAGGATTCCCCCAAAAAAAGGAATAAGGAAGAGTGTGACGGAAAAGTGAAAGAAAAGGGTTAGACGGACCAATGTTTTATCATAACTTTCAGAAAAATAGTAGTAAAAACAGATATTCCACTGGACCTTCATAGTTGAGTCAATATGAACTGAGAGTTTTGTTTTTCTCAAAATGTAGCCAAGACCGTAGAAGTCAAATCTATGAAAAATCAAAAACATAAAGAACTACCTCCACACTTATTATTCTTATAGTCTTGGTTCACTTTAGTCACAACGTCACTGAAATGTTTCAAAAGAAGTGACTGAGGTGATCAGTGGAACAGTAAACAATTATTATCATTATCATTATTACCATTAAAAACTTCTTTGGTGCTGTCATATTTATGAAGCTGAATGCGCAGGTTCAGACTGAAAGACCGAGTGCCTGCCAGCCTCGAGCCTCAGCCAATCACACAGCCAGGCCAGCCTCCTGCCAACCCTCTCAGAGCAAAGCGGGCAGTTTAAAAGGCAGCCACTTCCTGACAAACAACGCTTCCTGAGGCTCTTAAACACCCACCACCTCCCCAGCACCCCCTCTGGCTCTTGGCTCCCGCTCTGGCTCCCGCTCTAGGCTCCCACTCCGGCTCCTGCTCTGGCTACACCCCATTCACACCATACTCTAGCCACCACCAGTGATTGACCCCGGGGGATCTGAGATCATCTTCAGCTGCAATCGATCTCATTGCTGCAAGTGTCACTGCCGGGGTCAACGCGCCAAACAAATAAATAATTTTATTGTATTAATCGTGTCTTTGGTCTCTTCAGATTGAACTACAAGCGTAGCAGAATTCTTTTCAATTGACCAACCGTGGATGCACCCTGGAAACCTTTGGATCAATTACCAACTTCAGTCTGTCTGAATGTTTATCAAGTGAAAAAGTAATGCTGAAGTTATGTTCAGTAAGCTCCGCCCTGTCGGTGCTTATTTTCAGATAATGACCCTGTACGCCCTGTACATTATCCCGCTTATTTCTATGGCTTTGTGCCAAATAAACACAAAAATAAACTTCCACCCACTTTTATGAATGCCGATTGTGTTTATTTAATGACTGCAAAAAATAAAAAGTTCCCAAACTATGCAAGTAACAGCTCGGCTAGCTACTTCTAAACTATAACTCCCTCGAACTACATGAAAACTAAACAAAGAATTCTGAACATAAGCGGTGAGTGACCCACATATAGACTTAACCTACATCCATAATCAGATCCACTGAAAATGCGTCTTAAATGTTTTTATTAATGTTAATGGTTACTTCCGGGTTTACCGCAATCCCTTTAAAACAGTATTTTTGTCAAGAAAACGTAAACGGATCACTCCAAAAAAGTCTGTGCATCAGTATTAAGAATGTATATGTATAATGTATTCTCCGATTAACATTTATATGTGTTGATTTATTGTTGTTTGTTTTATTGAGCGGAGCTACTCTTCTCTCACAGAGACAGAAGTAGTAACAGGCGCAGCGGAGGGATCTTTTTACACACATGAATTACAAGGCGTTACCATTTGCCATATTGGTTTGAGAGCTCCGTTATCAAGAAATAATGACCGGTAGAACGTTTTGAAATTAAATTCAAATCAATGAAGCGTTCTACTGCTGCTGTGAGGAAAGATAATAAATACAAATAACCAACCATGTTCAATGTTACTATGGAACATGCATGTGTGGTACAAATGATGATTGCACTCGGCTTCTAAAACAGACAATATTTGTGACTGTGATGGCCAATTCTTCTTTGGTGGAAAAAAGGTTGTATTTCATAGAAGTAGAAAGACCTCTGTATTCATTAAAGGGGACTTAACATTCAACATTTGAACTATGCTATGGGATTTTCTTGTTGTGTATGCACATAACGTTGTTTGTAGAGTGATTCTAGCATATTTGAATAATATCGCAAAGTGATGCAACTAAATATTGTTGATATTCAGAATGTACTAAATGCTACATAAAAAGCCATGGCTGTAAAACATTCGTGTTGAATTACTATGAGAATCCTCCCTCCATAAAAGTTGATTTTTACTTATTAATGCGTGAATCGGCATGTTCAATAATGTTTAAGGTCAGGATAAACTGGTGCCGTAGTGGTTGAAAAACTGTGATGAAATGAGCCCATCTCCTTCATGTAATATGACAGCTATTGTGTGTTGACGCTGTCAGCTGCTGAGAGCCAGGCACAGTAACAAAACACATAAGTCAACGTTATGGGGCTTGACAGGGACTCTGGATTTTTAGGAACCCCGTAACAATGTGCGTCAGCTTGTATACTTGTGTATGTGTGCTTGATTTACACTCACTATTCTTTGCTGCCGCTGCTTTTTCCTTAGCCTGATGAACTCCTTGTGTTGCCTTGAGACAAAGTTGACAGCAGCATACTCCAGCAGGGCGGCGAACACAAACAGGAGGCACACGGCCATCCAGATGTCAATAGCCTTTACATAGGACACCTGGGAACAGACAAGGTCACAAAGGCATCAATACACAATCGATAGGCCTGATCTGATCAAAACGCACACATTTCTCAGTACTCTCGTGATACAGGACAGAATGGTAATGAGCCTTAGAGATGTTTGAAGTCACATCTAGAGACAGGTCAAGGCTAAAGACCAGAGGAGAGGCCCATAGTCTAATAGTTTGTGACTGATCTGTCACAGCACATGAGAAATATGCACTGAGCCCAGATTGAGTGGAGGACACACTCAATCGACCTGCAGAGGCATATCTGCTAGGCCATGACATGCAAATCTTTACTTAGTATGTGCTATTACTTTTTGTTGTCCTCTTTTTCCTCTGAAAATGTTCCTCTGCAATTTTATAATTAGGGCTGTCAAATGATTAAATTTTTTTAGTTGATTAATTGCACAGTAATGGTGAGTTAACTCACGATTAATCGCATTTTTAACATTCTATTTCAAATCCACTCCAATTGAAGTTAAAGGAGATTATCAAATATAATGACACATTGTCATTCAGACCAAATGTACTTAAATCTTAGATTACTTACTTAGATTTGCTCACAACCTTTTGCTTTTGGGCACAACCAAAATGAGCTGTTAATGAAAGGGGGGAAATTTACATACCCCAACTTTAAATCAGCGAGTTTAGTTTAGTTTAGTTTCAGAAGGAGACAGGGACACTTTAGCGGTGTATTTGCGTGGATAGGTAACGCACAGGTTGCAAAGACACGAACACAACATGCAGACAATAGTTTTGTGGCGTGTTTGGTCTTATATGACCATGTTACCACGGCGCCACTCACTCACAGCCGCTCACAGCCGTGTTGTTGTGAGCAGCTCACAACCAGAGCGGCCGCGGAGGAGGCGGACTTCAGTTCACAGCAAACAACAGCCCCGCGTCACGCGTATTCTTTTAAAACTTGAATCCCCAGAGGGCCTAGCTGCTCTGATGCATCTCACACGCTGCATTCTGAGTGATATTATGGATAAATGGGCGGGTCATTCGGACATGCGTTAATGCGTTAATTTTTTTTAACGCGTTCATGAAAAATGTAATTAACGTGAGTTAACGCGATAATTTTGACAGCCCTATTTATAATATTAAAATTTGGAGTAAAAATACTATGAAAATATAATGGAAAAATTACGAGAAAACAGTCATAATATAATGAAGATTAAAGTCAAAGTCAGAAGAAGTCTAAACTTTTGTTTCTCATAGTACTACAACATCTTGCAAGATTAAAAGAATAATCTCATAATATTGAAACATTATTCTTGCAAGATTATGAGAATAATTTCATAATCTTGGGCGGCAGTAGCTCAGTTGGTAGAGCTTTGGCCTTTGAGCCAGAAGGTCGTGGGTTCAAGCCCCGCTCAAGACCTTCACCATCGACTCCCACTGTCTGCTGTCGTTGTGTCCTTGGCAAGACACTTAACCTCTGGGAACATCAGCCACAGTGGGGCGGCTGCGGCTGTAAAGTGCCAAACTGCCGTTGTGTCCTTAGGCAAGACACTTCACCCCCATTGCCTAGAATGAGTCTGGTGTGTGTATGAATGATTGGTGGTGGTCGGAGGGGCCGATGGTACATACTGGTTGCCTCGCTTCTGTCAGTGTGCCCCAGGGCAGCTGTGGCTACAGCAGTAGTTTATCACCACCGTGTTTGGAGTGAATGAATAATGACACATGTGAAGCGTCTTTGAGTGTCCAGAAAAGCGCTATATAAAACCGATGCATCATTATTATTATTATAATATTTCAATTTTGAAATATTATAACTTAGGCATGAATCTCCTAGCATCTTCCAAAAAATCTTCGGATGAGCCTTCTCTTGTATTTTATTGTATCAGAATAGTATTTTCTTTAACAAAATCAACAACAATCAACTAAATGGGACCCCATTGACAGAATGCCTAAACAAATGGGGATCCTATAAACAAATTAAGAAATATGGTATGAAACAGTATTCTAACTTGCAAGTATGCCATCATTATTTTTACAGCTTTACCATGGGATAGTGGAAACGTCCAATTAAAACCAATCCCAGACCATTTCACAAAACACATTCACCTGCACACATTACAGATTGTTGAATACAGGCCAAAATCCTCACCAGTTGAAACAGTGTAAAATGCCAATGGAGTCTCTGTGTCCAGTGTGTCCTTGGTGAAGGGCCGTTGTTTACTCCATGTCGTTTTTCACCTTGTCCCAAACACGGCTCAGTTCCTTGCACAGTCAGCACTCATAACTGAATGCGTCCTTACATATCGCCCTGTGCCAGAGGTTTGAGAGGACACCACGGGCCCATTCTTTTCCATTCTCACTGATCAAAAATCAATTGTGCCTCTGTCTCTTAGTCCGCGGAGCATTTGGGTCAGCCTTGGCAAAAAGTCAGGGCATTATATATAGGAAGGAGATAAAATGCACTTTCTGAATCATGTATCATTTTTTGGGAGCGTGTCAGTGCGAAATGTCACAGGGGTGTGCAGTGTTCTCGTTCAGCCAGAGCCGCGGTTATTAGAGTTTTTCCCATTTAGTTTCTGACCTTTATGCCGAGACCTTGCCCACCTCGATTAGTCCCCGTTTTCAAACTATATTCAATGTCTATTTATGTATCCCCCCAATGTGCATGCTGTCAATTTGTGTGTATATTTATTGACAGTTTATGGAATGGGGAGCATGAGAGTATTCACTAATCACTTAAAATAATAATTCAGTATTCTTATATTGTGAAAATCTATATTGCCAATACATAAAACCGTATGTTAACTCAAAAATCAATCATCAGAGTAATTTTCAGTGATAGTGCTTTTTTCTCAAACTCGTACTTGCTTTGAAGTATTCCTTAACCATTATCTTTAAATTTAATGGGGTTTTCTCGAGTTTATCAATTAGTCAACTAAAAAGGATGTGCGGCAAAATCTCTGAAAACTAAATTAGGGATCCCACTCAAACTAACACAGTTTATCACATCAAAACCCACAATTAATAGCTATTACCAAAGTATATAATAAAGTCATAAATGTGAATGGAGAAATGATTCTGGCTTATATACCAACATCTTCAGGTATTCTTTTTAAACTAATTATTCGACTAAAGAACAAAAGACGAACAGCTCTAAAAAATACAAACATTTATTTTTGTCAATAGCATCCTCTACATTTGCAGTTTTACATTTAATTATTACCAGTACTTGAATTATAGGATTTTTTTCTGCATTTACAAATTTAGTAAAAAAACTTGCAAACGCAATTTTCTGTAAAGTTACTTTCTAGTCTCCACAATATTTGGTCTTTTTATTTTTTACTTGTTGGGACCATATGTATTTACTAACCTTGGGCAGTGATGCTCTGGAGCCGGAACTCTGCGTTGTCATGGTGAGCACGGTGGTGATGCCCAGTCCCACTCGAGCCGGCGCCGCGTCCATGTTGATCCAGAAGGATACCCAGGAGAGGATGACGATGAGCAGAGACGGAATGTACATCTGGATCAGGTAGTAGCCCATCTGACGCTCCAGGTGGAACTTCACCTCAATGCAAGTAAATTTACCTGAACATAAAATAATTGATTTATTATTGTATTTTTAAAAAGAGACTCACTGATGATATGCCACTTTAAATGTACATGCCGGTCTGTTCCCTCTCACGCTGCTCCCTGGAATTACGATGATAATGTCAGAATATAACCACCAGGTTCACCATGGATTTTGAAGTCCAAAATGGTGAGTTTGACACAAATGATTACAGAGCGAAAGGGGTTTAAAGTGGACATATCGTGTTTTCAAATAATTGATTTTTACATCTAAATCATTCATTTGTGGCCTATATAAAGCGTAACTGCAATGCCTGGGTCTGAGTCTCATTATTTGTAGCTCCACGGGCCTTTCTTCTACACCGTTTTTGAGGTGCGCCTGAGAGCAACCTGTTTTGGTGCTGTCTCTTTAAATGCAAATGAGGCGCTTTTGACCACGCCCCCATCCAGGTGACACAGGTTCAACTCCACCCCGAGCGGCCATTTTTGTAGTTACTAAGCACAGATACAATTATCTCATAGAAACTTCTCATTACATCGCAAACATGAAGCAGTCCTTCCTCATTGACTGAAAGCAAATGTTAATTTTCATTCTTAGTCCAGTCTTATTATCGACTCTTCTCTTTTTAGCTTTGGGATCCATGCGCACAGTCTATGATGCTCACACGCCGGTTTGTTTACAACAGCGGCCGCCTAGCGCGGGCCTACGTCGCAACATATGACGCACTACGTTGACAGAAATGTTTAAATTGAATATTACTTGTGCACAATTTTACAGCATTTAAAACCGTTAAGAACGTTTTTCCTTCTACAGAAGGAAAGAGACGCATGCGCCTCCGGAGCCGCAGGTTGCCGACTCCTAGTTTATACAGTATGTGGAAGCAAATACTGTAGAGGATCAGGATATGTGCAGTTTCAACAATAACATAAAATGCAATAGTCTACATTACAAGAGGGTAATGAACATGTCTCAGAGTGAGGGAGGTGGACACAGACAACACTATTGTTTGTTACAGGGATGAGAATTGGTCAAAAAAGACTGAAATGCATATTGTCAGCCATTTGCTGGCTCTAAATCTGTTTAATTTGTTCACAACATATTACTTTTGGGCTCAAACATGAACTTTCAATGCAATGCAAAATGTAGGTATCAGAGCTTTATTTAGGGCGTTTAATCGCGCTTCGAGAGGAGAGGGGAGACGCGGACTGTTTCCTGCAGCAGTGTATTTATTGGGTGCACAGATTACTCAAAGACACGCATGGGCCTGTGCGAGAACAAACGTAAACAACAATGGTGGAGGATCAACGTGATCTATGCGTGCTTTGAGCGTTACACAGAGGAGAATTCTACTCCTTTATACGTCCAAACGAAACCAGTTTGAACAGTTTTAGTTTCCATTTGTGTAGCTACTGCTAAATGCAGAATGATGTTGGTGCATTCCTTCACCTCTTTGCAGTGGCCTGAGGAGGATGTTGTTGAGGAAGTGGTTTTACTGCCGGGGTTCACATGTGTCGTGTTGTAAAGTTCCACTGCCCCTTACTGACCAGTCGCTAGAACTTTTCCGTTGTGGTGTAGACGCTGTGCACTTTGAATAAGGAGACTGGTCGTTTTTGCTTATTGCAACAATGGGGCATTAGTCAATGGGAGCCAAAGCACACACTTACTTCCTCCACATACTATTTGCGCTAGTACGTTAGCACTGTTCATCTGTGTACAGTCTATAGCCTCACAACAAAAAGGTTGTGAGTACCTGACTCAGGCCTGTGTGACGTTAGCATGATTCTGCCCCATGTTGACAGGTTTCTCGCACCACCCAAAAACATGCATCCTTCAAATCAACCTATACTAAACATAATATCATGAAATGAAACATTAAGTACATACCGGTGTTGTAGTACTTTGTGCAGTAACCTAAGTCTTTCTCCTCTTTGAGCACAAACTGTGGAAGTGTGAGGTCATCTGCCACCTGAACTGGATTTTCTGAGAGCCACTCGAAGATCAGGTCGTTCATGGTGTAACCGACTGTGAAGAGAGGAAGAAAAGGCAGATGAGGTCACGGAAGTCAGAAAGTTTGTATGACAAGAGTACATTTAATATAACGTAACATTCTAATGTTCTGTTCTATGGCTTAATGACTGTTCTATGGCTTAAACTTTGATACTTCATTATCTATCAGCACAAAAACTTAGAGATATTGTTGCTCAAAGATTTTGTCATTTCGGTTCAGAGAAAGAACAGAAAAAGTTTTTGGAAATGCATAACTGCTGAACTATTGAGAGACAAAAAGGCCTGTTCAGCTGTTTAGAAAAAGATACATCAAAATCATATTCTATTGGCTCCTGGGAAGAATAAGGTTTATGTTTATGACTTATGTTACAATATGCACAATAACCTGCAACCAAGAATAAATTATAACTCCAGCTTTCCCTGGTTTTGAGCTCTGTAAGAGACCTTGTTGTCAGTATACACTAAATCCTAAACAAAACAATAAGGTTACTCTATTTTTTCCCCCCACTTAATCACCATTCATAAATGGTAAAAAATAGAAATATACATTAAATTAGCATCACATTAAACCTATTATGTCTTATCTTGTCTATTTGTAGCTGACACCACACAATGTGTCCTGAGTATAACATACAGTATGGACTTATTCAAACAGAAACAGATGGGATAACAGAGTGAACATGAATAAGGCGTGGACAAAACAAACTAAAACATATATATATATATTTTTTATAACACAGATTATCGCTGTGGTTTGTCCTCTATATTTCATTATATTGTACAATGCTGTGAACACAAGCTCTTAGTTTTGTTTTTCTGCAATTATCTAAATGTATGTTATCTAGTCCCCAGCGTCCGTGGTTCCATATACGGGCAGATGTTACCTTGCATTCGAAACAACAACAACTTGACTTAATGAAACGCAGATACAAGGCATCACGCGTCACATTCTGAGACGTGATGTTCTCTTGCCCATCTGTCCGGCGACTTCCAGCCTTGTATTTGTCACAATAAAGGTCAAGTGACACGGTTACAGTGCCAGCACCACTGTCTGAAGGTTAGCGAAGAAAAGGGCTGCCAATATGAAAGCTGCAGAATATCAAACAGACTTTTTAAGCCAAACAGTTTGATATGGCCACTTGGGATATGAATGTGAGTATTTAGATTCCTTGACTACAACACAAAAATGTATGACGTGTGAATTTCCATAATCCTTTTTTCGCTGGTTCTACTTGGAAGTGTTTGATTAGAGTTACATGAATCAATGCAACAGCACCTTCACTTCTGAGAAATGCTGGGAATCTTTAGGACTGGCTTTATAGCGGCATCAATAATTCAACGTGTCTTTTCCCGTGGCTTCAGTCTGAGAAAACAACATTGGTAAAGCACACTCATCTTCATGAGGAGAATTGGGTGTCATTCGCACTCGGAGGGACAGTCAAGGGGAATATCAATGCGCTAAATGTGTTATGGAGTGGGAGACGGAAGACCATGAAATGTAATTAATAGAGTTGGGAGACTTTTGCGGGTGTCCTTGTTGATTTGTTCCTGAGAATGTTTTTAGATACAATCACTGTACTGTATATGCTGTTATCAAGTAAGAATGAAGTACAGCAGTGAAAAACTCTGCCAATAGGTGCAGTTCCTCCAAACAGTAGTTCATCACCAGAATCTGATCCTCATTTGTTTCTTCTCCCATTTTCAAGGATTTCTGAAAATTCTGTAAAGATCCACCATAACTTTTTGAGTAATCTTGCTGCTAACAAACTGACACACAAACCCTGGTGAAAAACATAACCTCCTGCCAGAGGTAATTTAGGATTCTTTTGTTTATACATGCTAGCAGAAAAATCAGGTACTGTTTCATTCCCAGGCTAATGCTACTGGTCTTATTAGCGTAAACTGTACCCATTGTACCAAATTCAATATAAGTGTGATATTTGGAGACCATGTAAAACATTGACCTTTATTTATGCGTAAATGGATTGGGGCTCTATATAGGAGACTTTGATGTGTCTGAATCTTATGCTTCTATTTAGCCCTTGGCATAAAAGGCCAGAAAAGAAGATTGGCCTTGAGTCCTTTAAAGCTACAGAGATGACGTACTGTGTTCTTTCTGCTTATGTTCCACTTCTGGATCAAGTGTAACTCTAACTCACTCAATGGAACAAACTGCTTCTGTGTTTGAGCAACAACAACAAAATCTGTAAGAGTAACAATCTTCTGCACAGTCCTGAATGATGTAACATGTTTGACCTTTTCTAAGGAAAATAATAATTGCTGCCTTAAAGACACTTACGTTGTATATTTGTACAAATGAATGAGAGTAATAATGACTAAAGGTTTCTTGGTAGAAAAAGGTGGTCGTTGAGGATATACAACCAAACATTAACAGCATTGACAAAATCCAGTTATTTTTCTGATGGTAAGTTCAGGCAGCCTCATCTTTGTGAAAAAATTCTTATGGTGCTTTGTTGTGCGATGCAGAAGATCATTATGAACAAATCAAAACTCAATATCTATCAAAACATTTATGTCTGTCTTTCACATTGACTAATAATTAACTCTAAAACACCTCAGACAACTGAATAAGTAAATAAGAAAGTGAACCAATATCCAAGAACTTGATATTTTGATCATAATAATAATCATAAAATCAGTCATAAAATGGTTAAAGCTCATGTGCTGTTGAATTTTCATAATACATCATTTAGCATTAGTAGCCAAAGTGATCAAGGTGCATCCCGCCTGCAACAGTAAATGTGCTAACTCCAGCCAAGGTGATGGCACCCTTGGGTGTAAGGCTGTAATCTGAAATGAGTCTCCTCTGATGGAAGGTGATGCACTCCTCTGGAACACACACGTCATGTTTGTCTTTGTCCAAAAGGGTAAAATTTCTTAATATTCCCGTCCAATGCTTGGACACGTACAGTCGCCGCTAAATTTATTGGCCTTTTATGTTTGTGCCTGTGTCAATTTGCAGAAATAAATCATGTTGCCTTCTCCACCACGACAGAGTAACTGGTTCTCTGGCAACAATCGGTCTTGTTCTTATTGAATCAGATAAAGCTGCAGGTAGGCTGTGTTTATTTGGAAGGGTCTGGTGCTCTGAGGGGGCTCCATCAGTCTCCCCTTAGCTCCACTTAAATTATTTTGTCCCTGTGATAGGAAATTAGGTCACCTCTAGGCACAGGGGTGGGTCACATATAATAAAAGGGACACAGAATTAAAATTTTATTATTTATATCCGCGAAATTGGTTTCACCAGGGCAGATGATATCTCTGCTAAGGCAGCGGCTGAGCAAAGGGGCACTCTCAATCTGTGCAGCACAAAATGTTCTTTTACACAATTTTTGAATACAGTCGGCAGAATTTTAATGAACACTTACTCACTTACTTTTCAAGTATGTTGCTAAATGGTGAAAAATTGTACTAACCTTTGGAACAATTGAATCAAAAAGTGTCTTATATTCATATTTCTTAACAAACTTTAATTTAATTAATTTAAATATACTAAAGGTTGTATATTTTAAAGTGTAAAGCAGAAGTGGAAACAGATATTTCCTCAAGAAAACAAGACCATTAAAATGATATGACTTTGTGACCAATTTGATCATATCTGAACTTCTGATCCAAAACATCCTCATCCTTCTTATAAAAATTATATTTGTACAAATAGTGAAGAATACATTTTTTAAAGATTCAACTTTTTTATCAATCAATTTCCTTTACAAAATAAATGTTGACGGTTCAAAGCCTAATCAGTTCATTCTGGGACAACGCAATGCCCCATGAATGCAACCTTTTGAGATAAATGGTGTATGTAATGGCAGCGAACAAGAAGACGGAGAGGAAAGCTTTAGCAATAACAGGAGAAAGTGAAGCGAAAGCAGACTCACAGCTCTCGAGCTGCATAGTACAGGTCTGTATGTCCATGGGGAAGTTCTTCAAGTCCATAGGGCAGGACAGGATGAGCGTTAGCCTGAGACGGAAAAGCAGAGGAGACAGTGGCAGAAGATGAGAAGGAGCTGTAGGAAAAGAGTCTGAAGAGGACTGAGAGGTTAACACACAGAACAGGAAAGACTATTATCAGCACAGAGACACTTCACATTACATAAATCACCAGTAATGAGCCTGCGCCGGACCACTTGACATAATAAAGTTAAAAAGTAAAAAATTGCTGTGTGGTACAAGGAGGTAATTGGTGTCAGCAACAGCCCTTTTATTGTTGTGCGTCTGATGCATTAAGCTTTTCCTTGGAAAAGATCTAGCACAGGACGAGCCATTCAGTAGTGTGTCTGGAGGAAAGTGTAGCAATTACCATCAGGGACAAAACCAGAGCTGCCCCACATTCACACTGTGAGGAGAACTGCAGGTATGTGTCCCTCTACTATTCAGATGCACTTAGTTGGTGATTAGTTATTGATAGGACATGCACTCTACATGTTCTCAGTGGTTTGCAGACAGTGGAGCAGTGAAATCAGGCTTAAAAAAACAGGCTTTCCCAATTTCATGGTTTGTTAAGTCGTTTGAAACTTCTCCAATCTGCAGTTAAGTCTGTAGAGGTGTTTCACTTTTCAATATGTTGTCTTTCACAACAAAAAGTAACACAATGATTGGGTGTTGTACTTGGTCTCATTGCCAGGGACATTCAAACCTGTTACTAAATATGTGTTTAGGGCTGTCTATTTTATTAATTATGTATAATCAGAATCCTTTTATTGCCATGTGAGTAACAGGAAGTCACAAACTAGGAAATTTATTTGGCTCTCGGTGCAAACAAGTCTAAGTAATAATGTGTTACACTGTAGGGAAAACATATTATCATTAGCTATACATTCTGTATGTGTCACATCAGTTGCATCTTTCATGCTGTAACTATGTATAAATATACTGTCCCTGTCAAGTAAATAAACACCAGGGCAGTTAACCCAAGTCTGCCCTTCTTCACTCTTCCAATGGGTTCTTCTAATCCAGTGGTCCACACTATAATTTTTGTGCAGAGCAGCGATGAGAAATCAAGAAGGGCCGAGCCGCTATCCTGACTCTAACAAGATCTTTGTTTGCTGAGATTCACCCAAGGGTTTGGGATTTCTCAATAGGAGATGTACAGTATTTCAGGAGAAAACATTTGTATGTGACTGGATAAACCACTTGTCCGTTATCTTGAATGACGTGCTATTTCAACCACTCGCATCGAAGCACATGACTCCTGGCTGTGTAGTGTGGATTGACAGGTGCAGTTACAACTTCAGCCAAACTTGTTACTCTACAACCAGAAAAACCCACATATCACAACATGGAACCATCAACATCTCGCCTTTAATTCCATTAAAAGTGACATCCGTGTGTTAATTTGTTCGTATTTAAACTTTTAAACAATTCACAGACTTTATGTCCGCCATCTTGGTTTGCCTCGGCTGTCGTGAGATGCGCATGCGCAGGTTTGCATTACATCATAAACAGCAGAGGCAGCAGACTTTGAGAAGGCAGTGCAAACCGACGTCATACCGACAATCCTGATTGGTTCATTATTTTTTGCTATCTTGAAGGAGTTTGCATTATCTTTGATCCCGGGCCCTTGTGGGGAGCTCTGCAATTCGCCTCTCGTGGAGAATGCCGGAACTACAAGGGTCTGGCGACAGTCACGATAGCGAGCCACAATACCTCACTTGCATTTTTCAGAAAATTACTTTTTCTTTATGCTCTTTTCCTGCGATTAATGTATTGAAAACACAAAAGGATTCCTATGGCAAATACAATATGTTTGTAGAGGTCCGTAAACGTGCCCTCTCAAGGCTCCGGAAGTGAAATCTACCTTTGAAGCCGTAGTAGGGATTTCGATAAAAATCCATAAGTCAGTAACAGCTTGGGTTGAAACCAGCTGTGTGATTATAAAACGATCTCAATATCAGATGTAGGGAAAAACACATTTGAGATCAATCAAAATATGATTTAACTGCAAGCCCAGAACTACAATACCCAGTATGCTTGGAAGTACCATTAAATTATGACTCTTTTGATAGCTTTGAGTTTAACGTTCCCCCATGTACAGCTCGCTACATATAATTTTTAGCGAAGTAATACAGTACCTCTCCCACATCCTCCAGGTCGAGGCATAATGGTTTACAATATGCCATGGAAGGATCAGCCAGATGTCCCTCAATTTCTATGTGGATTTTAACTATTAATGTGAACAACCAGAGAGCAACAGCAAAGTTAAATCATGCATGTTCCCACACACTCTCATCAAAGTCTGAAGTCTGATCTGATGTCAAATGTATTGCTCTTTTGCACCCACGAATGCTGATCATCTTCTACCGGGACATGAAAAGACACTGCATGAAAAGTGTGATTTTCGTCTCTTTTCGGCCCTGTATATTACTGTGAAACTTCTGGGATTCGGCAGTTTGTTGTCCCCTCCTCCCTCCTCCACAGGAGGCTTTAACATGTAAATGGAAATGCTGTGAGCTATACAAATGCTAATCAGGGTTGAGGGGGAGCACACCGTAGACCCGGATTTTGTAAATGCTCAAACACACACACACACACACACACACATATTTGATCATGATTGATTATAGCTTGTCATGTCAAAATCAATTAAATAAATCTAATAGGACAAAAGACATGTTGAAAGTGTAAGTGCTCATCTCATGTATGTACAGTACAGACCAAAAGTTTGGATTTTTTATATTTTTATTCATGACATGAAAGATGTGTTCTATTCTCGGTTCAAATTATATATATATATACTAGGGCTGTCAAACGATTCATTTTTTTTAGTTGATTAATCGCATAGTAATGGTGAGTTAACTCACGATTAATCGCATGTTTAACATTCTATTTCAAATCCACTCCAATTGAAGTTAAATGAGATTATCAAATATAATTACCAGTGTTGGGTAAGTTACTTTGAAAAAGTAATTAGTTATAGTTACTAGTTACTTCTACCAAAAAGTAATTGACTCACTAACTGAGTTACTCCACTATAAAAGTAACTAGTTAGCAGTAAAAGTAACTATTGCGTTTTTCGTTTGTCGTGGTACCGAGCTTTAGCTGGCTGTAATTTAGGATAACTTCTAAGTAGATTAATTGTTGCAACAACCCCACCCTATTTTAGTATGATATGTTAGTTTAGGGAACTGTCCTGCAGGCAAACAGGTATAAGACAGGCCAAGGTGCCATTTAATTAAATTGCATTTATTTTTATCCATTGATCAAACAAACAGATTACAAAACTTGCAATTGAAAGAGACTATTTTAAAATAATTAGTTCCCAAAGACACACACGAGCAACACTCACGCCTGACAGTCAAGAACCAGGGAGAATACAGTACGCAGATGGTGCCTGACAGACAAGAACCAGGGAAAATACAGTGCGCAGAGCGCTGAGTATGTGAACGGAGCAATCGCTTGCTGCTGTTATTATAATAGCTACTGCTAGATCCATGCTTGCAGCCCGTGCAAAGCTCGCACTCACTCACAGCCGCTAACAACAACCAGAGCGGCCACGGAGGAGGCCATCTCACACGCAGCATTCTGAGTGATATTCTTATGGATAAATGGGCGGGTATTTAAAAAAAATAACGCGTTAATAAAAAATGTAATTAACGTGAGTCAAAACGATAATTTTGACAGGTGCATTGCGTAAGTTAAAAAATGCCATAATGCAATATTTTGCATCTGTGGTCCATCAGCAGTTGCCTGGTGTGTAAACTGAGCATTAGCAGATTCACTGTGGTTGCTTCTGTGAGCGCATACAGTGATTGAGAAATCCCTGACTCGGGTCGCTTTCTCGCGCGCTGTTTAAGCGGAAGTGACGCAATGCGCGTGCCCGTTCACTGTTTTGGCTCCATATGTTCCCTCGCGTTCAGTGGATCTGTCCCGTCTCCGTATCACGCGTATTTGAAGATGGATCCAGCAGTTTCTCTAAGAGACCAGCTTCAGAATCACCGTCTGGAACTCCACGCCAAGCGAAGAGAAAAAAGATTGTCACTAGTGCTACGAAAAGAGCGAAGCGAGAGGCCGACCGGCGGAGAGCTCAGACCCGAGTCGCTCTCGGCCATGCGTTTGAGAAAATGGAGAAGTCTCCGAAACGCTCTGGGGATAAAAAATGATCCTCATTTGGCGTTTATCTTGATTAGAAGGTAAGACGGTGACTCAGTTCTAAACGTCCTAGTGTCTTCGAATACGAAGAGATATAGCATTATTGTGTGTTAGCTTTTTGACTTAGCAACATGGACTGATTCCATTTGGTTCGGTTTTTTTCTGAACAGTAACAGATTGGCGAGACACATTCAGCATTTTTTTTGTTCTGTATGAAGAATGTCTAGAAATAATGACTGTTACGTTGATTAGTGCTTTTGAATGAACGTTAGCATGTGTTAGCTTAGTACAGCTGTGTACATTATTGGGCTGCTACTGTGCATGTAAACCATTATGAAACTTGCAGATGCAGTGATTATGTACCTCAGTACCTGTACTATATGTATCGTAGAATTGCAGACTATATTAGTAATATAATGTGGTTAGTCCAACTGGAATACAATGAGATGCATGTGTGTATAGGTAACGTGTATTTATTTACTTTATAGCTATGAAAAAATTATGGCATCAAGGAGTCCCAAGGCCTCAACTCCTAAAACCACTACTGCGACTGGTGATCTCCCGAGTTCAATCAGTCCCGTAGAATCTGACCGGTACTTTTTTTTCCCAGAAAAATGGGATTGGCATTATGTTTGATTCAAGCCTTATTGACAATTTCACTGAAACAAACTGTATTTTTTAACAGGGATGACTTATCTGTGGCAGGGGTGCAGCCTTTTAAAGAGGAGAAAGAGCTGGAGGTTTTGGAGAAAAGGTAGACATGCATTCACATTAAGATGTACATTGTATTCTCATTTCTAGGTCGTTTATTTATATGATTTATTGTTTTTTGTAGACATTCAGATCTTTGGTTAAACGAAAAACGGGCAAACAATCTAGAAGACAGTGTGTAAGTTACTTAACATGTTTAAAAAGAAATATTTTGTTGATTGTTTTAAAATATGACCTGTTTACTTTCACAGGATTGAGTTTGATGAAGATTTGGCCTCAGATCCATTAGATTCGGAATATGTCCCACCTATATCTTTGAGGTTTTTTTTTATTAAATGTTCTGTCCTGAAAATAATGGAAGTCCTTCCCTAATTGTTTTTTGAAAAAGCATCAAATTGTTCTTTTTTTCAGTGCTGGTGTTGCAATTCAAAGAGAAGTTGACAATCTTCCCATCCTCGGCATAGAAGAAGCTGTGTTGGACATCTGTGACCCAGAAAATCCCGGAGAACCAGAGGACTTTGAGGATCAGTCTGAGCAGGACATATCAACATTCCCAAAGCCAATTCGTGTGGTTGCTGAAACTGACCTAGTGCACCAACAAGCATGCATAGCGTATACTATTAGCTTGCTGCAAATGGCTAATTTTCTGCAACTGCCCATCAACAAATGCCATTACAGCGATCCGGTTTCTGGTATTGAGTGTGACGGTCGGCCTCCATTTTCGGTTCAATCACGTTCTAGGGGCACATCAATCATATTGGAATGGGTGAGTGAATGCTGAAATTAGAGATTGGTATTTAGGGTAGGCAAAATGTGTAGTTATACATTTAGTAAAAGTTATTTGTTTCTTTCTCCATAGTTCTGCTCTTATGGACACAAGTTATGGATGTGGAACAGTCAACCTGTACTTCGACATGGGATGCAAGGAGGCGATTTTATGTTATCTGCCAACTTATTACTGAGATTGCCCTCCTCTTCAAATTTATGAATATGAAGATGGTTTCAACGACAACTTATTACAAAATTCAACACTCCTACTGCGTACCTGAAATACCTCATGTATTGATTTATGTGTAAGCCACAAGTGTGCTAATCAAACCCTATATACAGTAATGCATCATTTATCCAGACAAAAAACACTGACAAAACTAAATTTAAAGAGTAAATGCAATTGCAGTAATGAGCTAATGCTAATGCAGCTATATCAGAGGATTGATGCTGAAATGTGGTGAAATTGGTGAGGTTGGCCATCAGAACGAAACTGGCATGACTTTTGTTTACACCAACTTCTCCACTTATATAAACATACAAAAGTGTGTTCTCTGTTGTGCTATTGTGAGGCTTAGGGCAGAAGTAACCATTGTATGATTTGTGTCATAATTTAACTGACATGCAATGTTTGTAGCTACATTAGGTTTGAAAGATTTGCTTTCTGTAACTTAGATTATTGTAACAACCAAATGAGAGGAGGGAAGCAGAGACAGAGGTGCGTCTGTGAGAGATGGGGATATTAGATGTGGCAGACGCTTAACAATCTTCATAGTAATAAAACAATTAATTCTGCAATAAAAATAAAGGCAAATCCTGCTTTTGCTTCCCCCAAAAGGGCCATTTGAGCTTTATCATTGTACTCGTTTAAATCTGCTATGAGACATTAAATCAAATGATCTTAGGTAAATTTATTTTTGTATAACCCTAAATCACAACAATATTTGACTGTAAAAAGTTGACAATTGGCCAACACAGACAATAAAACAGGAAATGCAATAAATACATTTAGCCTTGGCTTTAGACACGGCAATAATTAATTTGCATGTGTTCTGTGTCTAGTTTAATTGGTTTACAAGTGCTGTAATCTTTCCTACTTATTACTAATATTACTGCAGTGCGCATATGATGAGACTTGACGCTTAGCCATCTTCACTCTCTCATTACCTGATGCTGTAAAGAACACTGCCGTCTTGAAAGATCCGCAGCAGCTTGTTATCGGTGGTGACCTCGTGGAAATTAGCCCCTTTCTCGTTAGCAAAGAACAGATCCGGTTTCCAGATTGAGTCAAGCATGGAGGGGTCGAGGTCCAGGGAGTCGTCTGGGTATTCACTGTAGGCCAGGCGTGGGTCGTTCCATTTTTGCCGAAGGAACACATTCAGTCTGTAGTCCTGCGAAGGGTTAGACAATTACTGACAGGAAAATCTACTAATTCCTAAATAAAAAAAATAATGCAGTGAATTTTTTCACTTGAACCTGAAGAAAAACAAATACACACATAGCTTAATAATGCGGCTCTTATTACATTGACCTTTGTTTAACCCATCCACAAATGAGGTGAAATAAAAATGGACAATGTAATTATTTCTTAACTTTAGGCACATGGGGTCACACCACTGAGCTGTGTGACCTTCAGTTGTGTAGGTCTCATATTAGTTAACAATACACAACATTTCTGCTGACCCAGCACACATACTGTCCATGTAAAGTTGCCCCTGGACCTCCTCATTCATTTTCTCAATTTTTCATTTTAATTGGAGAGCGGACAGTTCATTATCAGCATGTCAGTGACCCAGTGGGGTCTGAAGGTTGTGCCTTTACACTTCAAGAAACACTGGAAAATAGGATTTGTAAAGAAGTGTCTACAAAGGGAAACTGCAAAAAATAGCCATTACAGGTTTCAATAACAGCTATGAGAAATCTTTCCTTCAGTTTGGTAGGATTTAAACTGATAACAATATGGACATCTGTAGTGGTCAAGGTATGCATTTGACATTTACACTGTAGGGATAAAAAATATGGTCAAATTAATGAGCCAGTTGAGGTGGCTCAGGCATCTGTTTAGGATTCTTCCTGGATGCCTCTTTAGGGATGTGTTCCGGGCACGTCCTACAGGGAGGAGGCCTCCGGGTAAGACCAGGACACATTGGAGCTAGTACATATGTGTCTCAGCTGGCTTGGGAACGCTGTGGGATTTCCCCGAATGAGCTGGAGGAAATGTCTGCTCAAACTGCTTCCCTCCACGACCCGACAACAAATAAAGCAGAAATAAATAGATGGATGTTGAGTCATATAAGATCTAGTCCTGGTTTAGTCCAGCGGAATATTTCACTGTCTTACTTTTCATGTACTGCATAGCCACATTTATTATGCTATGTTTATACGTCTATTGCAATATTCATGCAAATGGTCGGAATACTTTGACACAGTGTATTGTCTCACCATTGTAGTTTCCGTGATGGAGCCAAAGCTGTTGATGAATATGTTGCAGGTGACATTCACTGGTGGGCCTAAAAGAGCAATAAACAAGTTCAATTTACACAGCCCCTGTAGTTGAAATGATCCACAGCCCCTCAGTTCTGTCCAAAACAGCCTCAGCATCTACACTGTGATTTATGCCACTGGCTCTATTGACTCGCTGAGGGGCTGTAAATATGCTGTCAAAGTTTAGCATGGTAATTTTATGCATATTATTACAGCTCTTTTAGTGGCTTACGTTGCAGCAACCTCAAGTCTCGATTATACATTCAAGGAAGCAGATTAATTTGAGTTTCAAATTGACTTGGCATATATTAAAACAAAATGAATCTTCAATAATAACAACATAAGTTAACACATTTGGCATCAAAGTAGCAGCATCTCTACATGAGCTTATGACTAGCTCTCTGATGGTATTAATTATCCATATTACTATTTTTTCTCCATTGTGAGATCAATAAAGTTTATCTTATCTTTTTACAACAATTGATCATAGACAAAAAATATCACTCATTAATGTTTATGAACCTCCAGACCTACTGACCAGACATAAAAAAAATGTTCTAGCAATATAAGTATAGCCTGTAACTAAAGAAAACCTTCCCATTATTACCTTCACATAAATCACTTTCTTCTTTTAGTTCATTAGTTCAAATCCTCGGGTCTTTCTTTAATAATATATTTCCTTAGTGCATGGAAATCTGCCTTTGGATCACAAATTTACTTCCAGGGTATGAACTAAGAAATTTTAGTAGCAACTTGTTTCACTCCAGTGTGGAGTGTGAGCTAGAGGCTTCTGTGTACAATAACACAGCCTGTCCCAATTAAAAACAAAACAAAAACAGACCAAAAACAGGTCTTAGTCCCCTACAGTAAACAATACATGGAATATATATGACCAGTAAATAAATAAGTTGCCTAAGGAAACAGTCAGTCCTCTTTCAATTGCTTGTATTTCATTGGTTTGAAAATATTTTTGACAAGTAGCAAGATATTTGTGCTTGAAATAAAACCATAAGAATATAATTATTTTTGTAGGAGGTAAATTTTGTTTCCAATATTTAACATCTATTAATCTTGTTTACACAAGTCATCAAATATCACATTAAATAATCTTTTTTGTTTTATGTTTGGTAGCCAATATATGTAAATTATAATGATCAATGCAACCAATTGCAGTAGTAGAGATCTGAGTGTAATCTAATCACTCCCACAGGGTTGAAGAGTGGAAGAGGTTCTGTGGTCAGATGAGACCCAGATGGAACTATTTGACCTAAATATAAAATACTATCTGCTACTAGCGGTGATGTAAGAGCCAAGTCAAAGACGTATCCAGTCCAGAAACTGTGGCAAGATCTAAAAACAGATCATCTAAAACACTCTCCATCTAATGTGAGGGAGCTTGAGCTGTTTTGCAAAAAAATATGCAAACAAATGAGTCTCCAGTTGAGCAAACCTTAGAGAGATATAACCAAAATACTGGTGTAATTCCAGCTAAAGAGGGTTAAAAAAATATTCATTCATGGAGGTGTAATTGTTGTGCAAGCACCACTTTTGAATAAACAAATAATATGTAATGTTGCAATCACTGTACATTTGTCCTCCACTTCGGAAGACTAATGGGAAAGAAAAAAAGAAAATGGTTGTGACACAATGTGAAAAATGTGACTCTAACTTTACATTGCAACACTGTCAGTTACCCATTGTGGAAGGAATAAAGGATCTCTTGTCTTGAAACATTTCAAACTTAACAATGAATGAAAGAGAAATTATGAGCAAAGGCCATGCAGACAAAAGACAATTCAGCACTTTGACTAATATTCTTCTGCACATGGACAATTATATGATCCACCTTTGAAATTGGGTCTGATTCTTGCATCGTATCCTGAAGTCCTCCCCATGAGCTTGTCCAGAAAATCGGAAGGAGACATCTGGGGGCCGGTCCGGCTGGGGGGCTCCTTGCAGCAGCTGGGTCTGACGTGTACGAAGAGGGTGTGTAGGGACATGTGCAGAAAGCAGAGGGAGAAAAGACATGAACAGAGCAGAGGAGGACTATTGTACGGACGCAGTGGGTGTATAAATAATGGCAATCCATCAGAATGAGAAGCGGACCGCGATCAGCGAGTCAGTCATCAGCAAAACAGACTCAGTGTGGTGGGCAAATGAGGGAGAAAAATGGCTTGGCTCAGCTGGGAGTGCACTCTGTAAAAGCAAATGATTTTACGACAAGAACAGTTTAAAAGATGGTGTGCTATTGTTTACTTCTGTGATAAAGCATACATTTATAACCGCTTTATTGGGCTCTTTACTGGTTTGGTTTTTACTTGTATCTTAATGGAGAATATAATAGTAAGTAGTACACATTGAAGCAAGCACCTTTCATGACACCTAAAGCGTTTTACATGCATTCACGCCTCAGTGGTAAGCCAGCCACTATTGAAGCAATAGGTGCCCTGAGACTGATAGAAGAAAGGCTGCCCTTCAGTTCCACGCACCTCCAATCAAACATTCAGTCCTAGCTTGGTCGAACCACACCATTGTACAAATTACATTTCGTACTAAGGTCTGGAGGTGCTCCATTGAGCTTCGTAGGTGGGAGGGGTTTAACTCCTTTTGCAGATTAAAACGATTGGATCTGAGTTTACCGTGATGTATGTAATGCGCCTTTGCCGCTAACGGAGCCTGTGGGGAGTAGCGCCACAATCTTTGCCAGCGAACGCATTTACTAAACATTCCTCTTGCTCCGGCCTCAATTTCTTGATAGAACCAGATCGGATTACTTTACTATCACATTTTTTGCCAAACTACAACCTGCCCGTTTGGCGCAAACTCTTGACGTCACCCACATCTACTGTAACTACAACACCTGCCTCACGCGCTCGCTGATTGGTCGGATGGAACTCAACCGATTGTAATCGCAAACACAGGGACCAGACCCAGACGTTACATGCAGGGAAATGATAATTGAGCAGAGTGTACGGATGCGGTCCCATTAATACTCTACTCCCAGCTGTCTTCCCTCCAAGTACTAACCAGGTCCTGCACTGCTTAGTTCCTCAACATTTGTTGTGTTTAGAAAAAAATACAATAAAGAGACATTCACACAATGTAAACAGTTTAATCAATGGCTATAATAGTATTCATGCTATTATCACTGTTGCCATTTATTAATTTAGTGCAGATTTATTGCTAGACCGAGGAGTTCCAAACCGCATTCTATTGCTGTACCTGACAATGACAAATAGCTTCCATTGCTTCCATTATTGTTCTTTATTGTGAGAGTAGAACCATTGTTTATTATGTATTGACTTTTGTGTGCGTGTCACCAGGGCATTTTATAATTTCACCTGTGGCAAACAAGCTATGGGAAAGATGATTTGCCAAGAGACACTGAAAACACAATGAGTTATCCCGGAAGTAAAGAAGCAATGAGACGAGGCAGAAAATGAAAATATCCAAGCATTGCTTTCTGTGTATTGGCTTTGTAATTGTTTTTGGCTGCTTTAAACTTTATTACACTGTTTTCCACGACTGTCACATCCCTGTATTGGTGTACAGATGGCAGGCTTATTCCCCCCGAGCCCTGTGTTACTGTGTTATAGTGTGTGCACAGAGCTTCAACAAGTTTACAGAGACATAAAGCCACTACTCAGGCCTTTCTATGCCTGGACACAAATTGGCTTTAATGTTGCAAATGTTTTTTTTCAAGTATATGGAACATTTGTAAATTATAGTATTAAATTTTGTTTAAAATTGTAATAAAATCCCACCGTTTCATTTAAAAGCTCCATGCAGAGACGTTTTTGTGAGTGTGGAAAAATACATAACAATATGTGGGTGGGGTTCTAAGTGATTCAGGGTAACTTGAATACGTAGTTAGTGTTATGGCACAGGGCCACGCTATTCCTACTTCCCTCCCTCCCTGCTGCTGTTTCCTGTGCTGTGTCCAAGTTCCACACCCCTGTTTCGAGATTGGGTTGCTGTCTTCCTGTCCGGCCAATCTGTCGCTGCAGCTACTCATCGCCAGCCCAGAAAAGTGGTGTGTCTATCACTTTCCTATAGACTAACAATGATGGAACACTAATTAACATGATTTTTTAATATATCTCTTTTGTGTATGTATATTGAAGGTGATATTTTATGCCAAATCAGTGTTACGGGCTGATAACGCTAAACCTAAAATTGTAATTGTATTATTATGTATTTGATAATAAATTACTTTACCGTTTTTTACCCACAGTGTTAGCCTTAATGTGAAAAAATCAGATATGAGCTAAAGTTAACTGGGTCCAATTTCTTTGTGCATTTGTTCCGTGGTGTAAGCTCTGGGTTGTAACAGGGGCAGACGTGTAGCTGAATTGGATAAGTATTGTCCATCTATACAAAGTGTATAGACACCCAGCTCTATTCAATTGAATATGGTTTCAAAAGATTTTTTACAAACTCAATGAGGCCCATGAGCTGTGTTGTAGTAATGTAATAAACAACAGGAGCCAGTGACATCGCTGTGATTGGCATGTAGTACACATGAATTCAAGGTTACACTCACAATAACCAGACTACAAAACAAAGAAATCTATACACAATTGACAGCTCACTACAAACAAATCCAAAATCAAAAGCAGTGGGGGAAAAACAGCATAATTTTTATCTTTGATTATGTAAAAAAGCAGCAATGTTCTTTCTGTCGAGTATTCATAAATCAAACAGCAACTGACAATAGTCAATTATTGCAGTCCGCAAAATAAGAAAAACATCTGCATATTGTTGTCACCAAAGAAAAGAAAAGTTCAGTCCAACACCTACAGCACATCCCTATGCTGTTGTGTAAACAGAATATAATGAGTTGGACGACTCTACAGACTCTCTCATCTTGACACTGAAGCAAGAGATGGATTTAGATTCATGAGACTTTTACAGAATACACTGCTTTGGTTTGTGGAGTGATGGTCTCAGACAGATGTCACAACATCACACAAATCATTACTAATGGAAGCACCAACAACAGTGATGGCAGTCAGTATTTTCACAACACGTTAGTGTAGAGAGATTCTGCAGAATTCATCCTTCATTAATTAGAAAAACAGTGTGAATAAAACACAACTGAAAGTGAACTAGAATGCAAACGAGCACACCGTTATTATAAATGCAAGACCAGTATTAATAAGCTGAAAGCAAAGTTAGTGGGACTAAATCTTCTTTTAATAATAATAATGCATCGGTTTTATATAGCGCTTTTTTGGACACTCAAAGACGCTTCACATGTGTCATTATTCATTCACTCCAAACACGGTGGTGATAAACTACTGCTGTAGCCACAGCTGCCCTGGGGCACACTGACAGAAGCGAGGCAACCAATATGTGTCATTGGCCCCTCCGACCACCACCAACCATTCACACACACACAAGACTCATTCCATGGGGGTGAAGTGTCTTGCCTAAGGACACAACGGCAGTTTGGCACTTTACAGCCGCAGCCGCCCCACTGTGTGGCTGGTTTTCCCAGAGGTTAAGTGTCTTGCCAAGGACACAACGACAGTAGTCAGTGGGAGTCAATGGTGAAAGTCTTGAGCGGGGCCTGAACCCACGACCTTCTGGCTCAACATTTTTTCATCAGCGCAGTTAAATCAGCACTGGAACATTTTAGTAGAGACTGGATGATTCAAACATACTCTTTTAAACAACAATAAACAAAAAAATACACAAAAACACACATATATAGCATAGGCTTGCATCGCATGTGTCATAAAACAGAAGGAATCTTCCATTCCCCCTTTGGAATGATCTCACCTGTCTTCACTCCAGTCCTCTGCCACGACTCTACTGAGATGGCAATCAGCCTGCATTTAATCACAGCTTTCAGCTCGTGCCACAGCCCTCCCCACCAGTGGGACATTTTTCCAAACCATCACCATCCCTTCAACTTCCACCACCACCAGAGTATAATATACTTATTATGATGTGATATTCCATAGACTAAAAACTCAGACAAAAGTATGCATTAGAATGGTGTTTATTGAGTTACTCTACATTCACATTAGTATTTTAGAATAATAGTAAATTATAGTGTGCAATGTTTTGGCGCTTAGACCCAGACAGAAATGTAGCATGAGCTGAAAACGTAGTGCACAGCTGTAGAGCTGCAACTAACGATTATTTTGTAATCGATTAATCTATTGATTATTTTTACGATTAATCGAGTAATCGCTTGGCTGTGAATTGTGTAGAAAAAAAATATTTTTTCATCACAAAAAGCTAAAGTGGCAACACTCGAGGACGTATTGATGGCGTAAACTTAAAGTAAATGTTTGTAACAGGCTCTTTGTGCTAATTCTGCTATCTGATTGGATGAGACAGACAGATATTCATGAAATTATAAAAACAAAGTCGGTTTTAATCAATAATACTACATTTTCATGTCATTTTTGCTCTGTTTGAGTCCGTGTGAACCAGAAAACGATTAATGGATTACTAAAATAGTTGTCGACTATTTCAATAATCGATTAGTCGTCGATTAATCGATTAGTTGTTTCAGCCCTACACAGCTGTGATGCACATGTATGTAGTAGTAGGAGGATTCAAGTGAAGCAGGTGGATAGTACCAGTGTGAGATCTACCAGTATTCCATATCAACATGTCATGCCGTAGCGATGTCAAAGAGTATAATTCTGAAGTGCCAAATCATGCAGCAACAAAGTATTTGTTTGTTTCTCAGTTCATTTTATCCTAGTTCAATAAATAAACAAAAACAACAAAGATGAAAATTCAGTGAATGAATACACAGGCTCCTCTTAAGTGTTCTTACATTGGATACGGATTTACTGCCACAGTCCTTTTATTTCAGCCATGTTACACAAGGCTCTTTCTTAACCCTATGGTTTTGTAGTGTAGTCCTTCACTGAACTCCTCACCCTCCTCACAGCTCCTCCCCTCTGGGCCCGCATCACCTCTCCAGCAGACCACACGCATTTATAAACAGCACCAGTCGTATAAATCTTACATCACA